ACACCATTGGTAATACTATAAAATACAAGTAATTCTAGCTTCAATAACTGAAATTTTAATTTGGCTTAGAATAACGTTTCTGACAATCAGTGACAAAACACTGTGGACAAAATAGCAAAAGAGCGTACATTTACAACATAATCAACCCCCCGCACCCCCCGTTCAATGTTGTGTGTGGAAATACCTGCGCAAAATGTTCCTTGCCAGCCACCCAACATTGTTTAGGGTGGGGGGGGAGGGATAGTGGCTTTATGCTGAACAGTATTTGGAAATGCGGACATATGTATATATTATACCACTGTCCAAAAACCTTTTGTCACTGATTGTATGCAACTGGCAGAATATTGTATCATAAATATCAAGTATTTATTACATGTTCAGCCTTGATTAAAAAGTTTAAATTTACCAAGTACCTGAACAAGTGTTTACCCATTATTTGGTGGTCGGCTCATAATAAAGTAATTTCAGTTAAGCGTGATATAGGTATAAATTCATACACGTATAAATGGCTTAAAATGTAGGGTTGGGGAAACCATCCCTTATACCGTGGTGCGAGTTTTTGCAGATCTTAGAAGGTGACACGGTTCATTTTCCAGCCCCGAAAAATCAGATGAGCGAATATATTGTTTTCGAGAGTGACACGCCAATCTTTGCAACGAGTGACGCCCCACTTATTTTAATCAACAATGGATCTATTGATCACGTGAACACAGAAATTATGAATGTAAGATGGCGAATGTTTCCGCTCCATACACATATTCCGCGTGATGAACAAAGAAACATTGCGTCTTGCGCTCGGTGCTTTGCTGAGTTAATATTATATGTTGAACAGTGATCTATAATGATGTGTTTTAATTTAACGTACATTAAGGTGTTAAAATATATGTATTCTGGTCATCACTAATTAGCTTATGACACGACAACGAATCCCACACGAATCCCAGTCATATTTCATGTAGAAAAGGCGATTAAGTCCAACAATTCTTGCTTTTTTTCTCTCTTAGCTTATTGTACTTATGTCAAAGGAATTGATTATATGGATAACTTCGAGCGAAATCAATTTGATTCAATAAAATTCCGATTTTCGTCGACGATTCCCACTATTTATAGATTGAAATATGACATCATAATTATAGTAAATGGAAAAGTGGGAATCGTCCATTTTGAAGCCACTTTCTCTGTATTTTATAACGAAACGCGTGCATGTTTGAAGCCAAAGTATTAATTTATTCCTTACGCACGCAACTGTGCATTTAAATTCCCAACAACGACCATATACCTGTCAGAAAATATGGAAATTATTACGCGAACAAGTGTGGGATTCGTTGATACTGAAATACGATATTCATTCCGTTGTCATAGTAACTTTCTCAGTTTTTTATTCTAAAGACGTCAGCCTGCAATACAGCGTGCATTCATGTAGGCATGCTTGTGATAATATTATTTATATAATCTACATAAATTTTATATAAAGTTCTTATAACTCTAGTTTTAAATTGTCTCCATATACACTCTGTCTGGGGGCTAAAGCGTCACTAAGAGGCTGTGTCTTATAAATAGAAGAAACCCGTCTGAATAGAAGGCAATATTTCGCCAAAAGAATCCGGGCTTTGTGGAGAGAATCTTCTTGCATTGTTGCGCAAACGCCTTTCTTTTTGTGCGATCACGGCTTGTTAAAACCCCCTTTTTACTCGCAGGTAAATAATCAAATCCAGCTGCTTTCACCTCACGATAAAATGTCCTATAGGAAATATGACGTGACAGCAGCCTGCTTTACGCAACCAAGAGCTTAACAGTAAAATTTGGGTCTTTATCACGAAGAATTTTTATTATTCTTATTAATTTTCTCCGAGCTCTATCTGACAGCGTCTTTGGTCAAGCAATTTTCTTGCATGTTTTCAAATCTTGCTTGCGCTGAACTTTTCCTCTCAGATAAGAGAGACTGACGATTAAGATATTTTTGCTTTTTTAGCAATCGCTCAGCAGGAATATCGTTGCTCTTTGCCTAGAAATAGCACATGAGCTCGCGTTGTATCTGAAATAGTTGTTTTATAAGCCATTATTACTTGCTTTCTATATAACTACCTCTTATTTATAGCATGCATACTGTGCGCTTTATAATACTACAGCTTTGAGATTAATCCGGATGTTGACGATGACGTTATATTCTCCACAAAAGTTACGTAATAAGAACTTAAAATAATTGCATTAGCTTCCAAATATGTTTACTAGCCCTAAATTCCAGATTGCTCTACTAGTCTCGCTTGAAGTTCCAAACTACGAAGTTCCCAAAGTTTGAGTAGTTCTGGAAACATGCATAAACGCATCATGATTAAACTGGAATAATGACATACAATATATGCGTAAATTAACCATGTATACGCTCACCAAAACACGCCATCTATAATATTTGTAAACACCATTGGTAATACTATAAAATACAAGTAATTCTAGCTTCAATAACTGAAATTTTAATTTGGCTTAGAATAACGTTTCTGACAATCAGTGACAAAACACTGTGGACAAAATAGCAAAAGAGCGTACATTTACAACATAATCAACCCCCCGCACCCCCGTTCAATGTTGTGTGTGGAAATACCTGCGCAAAATGTTCCTTGCCAGCCACCCAACATTGTTTAGGGGGGGGGGGAGAGATAGTGGCTTTATGCTGAACAGTATTTGGAAATGCGGACATATGTATATATTATACCACTGTCCAAAAACCTTTTGTCACTGATTGTATGCAACTGGCAGAATATTGTATCATAAATATCAAGTATTTATTACATGTTCAGCCTTGATTAAAAAGTTTAAATTTACCAAGTACCTGAACAAGTGTTTACCCATCATTTGGTGGTCGGCTCATAATAAAGTAATTTCAGTTAAGCGTGATATAGGTATAAATTCATACACGTATAAATGGCTTAAAATGTAGGGTTGGGGAAACCATCCCTTATACCGTGGTGCGAGTTTTTGCAGATCTTAGAAGGTGACACGGTTCATTTTCCAGCCCCGAAAAATCAGATGAGCAAATATATTGTTTTCGAGAGTGACACGCCAATCTTTGCAACGAGTGACGCGCCACTTATTTTAATCAACAATGGATCTATTGATGGCGAATGTTTCCGCTCCATACACATATTCCGCGTGATGAACAAAGAAACATTACGTTGTGCGCTCGGTGCTTTGCTGAGTTAATATTATACGTTGAACAGTGATCTATAATGATGTGTTTTAATTTAACGTACATTAAGGTGTTAAAATATATGTATTCTGGTCATCACTAATTAGCTTATGACACGACAACGAATCCCACACGAATCCCAGTCATATTTCATGTAGAAAAGGTGATTAAGTCCAACAATTCTTGCTTTTTTTCTGTCTTAGCTTATTGTACTTATGTCAAAGGACTTGATTATATGGATAACTTCGAGCGAAATCAATTTGATTCAATAAAATTCCGATTTTCGTCAACGATTCCCACGATTTATAGGGGGAATTTTTACATTCTACCATGGTTTGATATATGTCCTCCACATAATCTATTAAAAACAAAAATATGTATATTTATACTGTTTTTTATCAAAAACAATTGAAAGTAATCCTCTTTATTGTCAATTGTTTGATGTTCTAAACTGGCTCTAAACTAGGGGAGGGGGTTCGGGGAATCTTTGCCACACTGCATGTAATTTTAAATTATTAACCAATCACCTTACCAAAGTTTTGCTTCACTGGAACCTTTCTGACAACTGCTTCTCCATTCATGAACTTGGGATAAACAACATTGCATTGTTCAACACTATTTTTCATTCTTGTTTCCTGAGATAGGTTTTGATTGAAGTGGATGACTGCTAATGCATGCCTGCAACAAATGACACATGTATACTCCTTATATCTAAGGCATCTTTGACATAATTTGCACTGGTGGAAGGGTGCACCCGCCTGAAAAATCTGCACCCCCTCTCTCAGATTATTATTATTATTTGCCAAGTTCACAATACATTACATCCATACCTAAAGCGCTGAGTGTATAACATAACAGCTTACATTTCTTTGCTTGATGCGTTTCGTGCGCTCACTTTCTGGACTGCCTGTAATTTGATTTATGTTCAATGAAGGAAACACAGAAACTCCAATATCATCCCTTTTCAGTCTGGGGTCTTGTGCCTAGGAACTGTAGAAGAACCGTACTCAAAACAGTCTTTGGTGTAGTGCTTTGAGCATACAACTGATGAACATGTCGGCATCCATTTGTACCTTCTGCGTCAAATGAAATTCACCCATACTTTTTTCGTTTTGCCGCTACGGTCGAATTGTCATTCCAAAAAGGTATCTGATATAGAAATATACCATTCTTTGTGTCTGCAGTGTTAGAATACCCATAAACATTGCATCGTTCAGGCATTTTTTTTTAGGAAAAACTCTCAATATTTATGTCTTAGTATACAATAGTATAGTTGTTGTTGAAGATGGGTTGTAGGATCCAGGCCCCTTGGTGATATCTTGGTCGCTCTACTTTTTTTTCAAAAAAGGCCAAATTTGCCTGTTTGAGCTCTTGTATCTCTGAAACTAAAAATCCAAGCAAGAAACTAATCTACAACTTACTAACTTTTTATGCTTTATCCGAATCAATAAAAACCCATTTTGGGTTTATAAGCACTATAAGACAAGGACAAACATGCAAGCTCATGGTTTCAGTTATAAGCTTCGAATGTTTTGTTCTAAGAATTGCATGCTCATCAGCGCCAAACTATCTTCTCTTATCCTCTATGTTAATTGGGGCTGGGGCCGCTTGTTCAAAGGTGGTTTAGCGCTAACCCTGGGTTAAAATTTAACCTGCTGTTTTAGTTTATGTATTTCTGCACGTCTGTTTATTTTGAAACTTCAGAGAAGTAAACTCTTATAGATCCAGACAAGCTGTCAGGAAGTTTGATTTGAATTTTGCATTACCCTAGGGTTAAACTAACCCAGCTTTGAACAACCGGCCCCTGGAGTTTTACGTCAGGGTTAGGCATTGGTAAAGTGCCTTGTAATACTTCACTGGCTTTTCTTTTAAGTGATGAACTTGTACATTTATATGCCTTAACACTATCAGAAGATCGATGACCAGTCATCTCCTGAATAACTTGTTCAAGTATTCCAGCATCATACAATCTGGTAGCACTACTACGCCTGAGAGAGTGACTTGTATAATGCCCTTCAAAACCAGCTTTTTCCATGATCTTTTTCACTACATTACTCAATGTTTCCCATCCTATAGCTTTCCTGTAATACCAAATTTCACCTTTGGGCTTCGGCAGAGCTCTCAAATAAAACATGTTATTGCTGGTTTCCTTTGGAACATGCGATAAATATGTCTTATACAGCTCAACAGGACAATTCTCTGGGTTTGCCAAACTCTTATATGCTTGAACAAATAAGCTAATCCTCCATTGTTAGTTTTACTGATATCCTCAACATACTGCAAATATCAGCAATAGAAACACCAGGTGGAAATCGAATTCTAGTTAAAAATATTATTGCCCAGCAAATAACTCGTAAAAGAGGCATATTCAAAAAACATTTGGAATATAAAAAAATGTAGTGAGTAACGTTTTGTCACATTACAAGCGACATCATCAGACTAAATACAGTTAAGGCTATTTCATCTATTTTATAACAAATTTTGAAAAAATATATGATATACAATTACAAACGGTTAAAAAGTTAAAAGTAGAAATATACAATGTTCATGGTATATTGACATGTACAAGATACTGAGATTAGTGAAAGATACAGATTAAAAAAGGAATGTCACGTGGTTAGCATCAGTGTTAAAAGATGTTAGCAAATTAACAAGAGGAAACACCTAATTAGAAGAGTGCTAACAGAAAGGATCGGACATTATTATTAAGCCATGGTTTAGTTTGAGCAATTAGTAAGCTTTCTTTAATAAGAATATCATGGTTAGAATTAGTTGAAGTAACAATTTTAAAATCACTTGGTTCAATTGGATGACCGGCTTCTCTAGAATGATCCGAATACTAGATTTTGAAACACACGAAAGAGGATTGCCAGTCAAAGCCGAAATTCCGCAATGCTCGGAGATTCATGTGTGTAAATGTCAGCATGTTTTGCCCAAATACAATGCATTACAGCATTGACACTCAAATTGATACACGACATGAGATCTCAGATTAAGAGGAATACGATCTTTGAAATGGAAAAAATTAGACAAACGGCACATTGGTTTAAAAATCACACGTAGTTGTACTTGAGGAAAATCCGAGGAAAACAATTTGTGTAATTGTTGACGAATCTGAATAGCAGTATTCCCTGTATAAGGTAAAACAATCACAAGTAATTTTGAAACCGTAGGTATTTGAACTTTGAGAGGTGGAGAAATCATTTTATCTAAAAACGTTTTGACGCATCTATCTATGAACAATTTTGGGTAACCATTTTGAAGTAGTAACTTTTTGAATTTTTCAAGTTCAGCGTGAAAAATGTTATAGGAGAGGAGCAGATGTTGAAATAACGAAACAAGAGAGAGAAAATGAAACCTTTTTTGTAAGCAGTTGGTAAAAAACTTTCAAAATTTGTAAAAAGACCAGTAAAAGTTGGTTTTCAATATACTGATGTTTCAAATTTCCCATTAACATGTTTAATACTGATATCCAGAAAAGGCAGAGTTTTATGATCATTTTCAATTTCAAAAGTAAATTTAATGTTCGGATGTTTCGACTTAAGGTAATCAAGGAAAGGAACAAAATGATCACATGAGTTAAACAATACAAACGAGTCATCAACATAGTGGCAGGAAAAATAGGTTTAAAAGCTATCAGGACAAATATCAAGCCATTTGTTCTCATGAATTAGGACAAAAAAATGTTTGCACAAAGTGGACCAAGAGGACTACCCATAACTATGCCATCAATTTGGTCATAGTATTTTCCATCAAAAATGAAATGACAATTTTTAATGCTAAATTGAGTAATTGAACAAATTCCGTTTTACTAAAGCTGTGATAAAAAGTTTGAGTTGAGTATAATTGATCGGAAATTATATCAATCGTCTCATCTAAAGGAATATTAGTGAATAAGGAGGTTACATCAAAGCTAGCCATAATTACGTTGTTAGTATTAACATTTAAAGACATCAATTCCTGAATGAAAGAAAAAGAGTCATTAATAGTGTACGGTTTAGTAGGTAAAGGGCGCAAACGAGAAACCAAAAACTTAGCTAAACTATAGGAATGAGATTTGATGGCAGAAACGATAGGTCTTAAGGGAATACCATGTTTGTGTATTTTGGGCAATCCATGTAGTATGCCAGGTCTTGAACCCGTAGGAACAAGTTTCTTATATATTTCCTCTGAAATAACACCATTGTTCTTTAACATTTTAAGAAAAGTTGGGTTTTTTTAAGAACTTTATTGGGTCATCAACAACTATATTTACAATAATTATACTGACAAATAATTGGGCAAAGATACACTAATTTAAAGTAACAACAATAAGAACCCAATTGGGAAAAGTGCGAACGAGACTCCAAGTCCCATGCAGGGCACTTCCCCTAAAAAGAAGTAAGTTCATGTCCTATGGCAGGAGCAACAACGTACAAGGGTCCATACACACGGTTGATCAACATCAAAAATTTGAGTATTTAAATTATGATACATGAGTTTAATAGAACATTTGAAAATTGAAAGACTCTAGAAACTAGAAGTATTTTACAGGTTGTGTTCCATAGTTTTACTATTCGATTAAAGTAGGACGCTTGGAATGTTCTGGTTTTATAAAAAGGAACTTTAAGAGTTAGAGATGGATTTGACTAAGTCGGGTGCGACCGCTATTGACAAAAGAAAAAAATCATAAACGTTCAAATCTAAATGTCCAAATAGTGCCTTGTAGAAAAATACCAAGTCGTTAATTTCCCTGTCGTAACATAGTGGCAGTAGGTTAAGAGCTATCAGCCTCTGTTGGTAAGGTATCTCGCCTTGTTTGGATTTCAGAATCCAAGCGGTAGCTCTTCTTTGAATTTTCTCAACCTTTGATTTGAGATGTATGTTGACTGGAGACCAAACTTCTGTGGCGTAGCTAACTTGTGATTTAACGAGTGACAGATACAGCGTACGTCTAACTTTAACATCCGTTAACAAGGGACAAGTTCTCTTTAACAAACCCAGTAGCTTGTTGGATTTGGCGATGATAACGTTAATATGGGTGTCCCAAGAGAGGTTACTAGTTAAAGTAACACCGAGATCTTTTTCTTGCCCCACACAAAGCAGTTCCTTACAGCCGAGTTGGTAAGTGTGTAATATTGGGCTTCTCTTTCTTGTCACGGTCAACACCTTGCATTTAGATGCATTAAATTTAAGGTTATTGACACTGCTCCATGTATCAGGGTTATTCAGAGCCTGCTGTTGATCTTCGCAGTAGCTACTGATACAGTGCTTCTGTACAACTTTGTATCATCTGCACATAAAGCAGCGGTTGTTTTGTCTGGTATAGAATCAGGAAGATCATTAATGAACACCACAAAGAGCATGGGTCCTAAAATACTACCTTGTGGCACTCTGGATGTAACGGGTGCCCATTGAGATGCCACACCATCCACTACTACTCTTTGAGAACGGTCTTTTAAGTAGTCAGCAAACCAGTTATGTAGTTGACCCGTAACACCATAGGATTTCAGTTTTTTAAGAAGAATTTGGTGATCGACAGAATCAAACGCTTTGGCAAGATCAAGGTAAAGAACATTTGTTTGGACGTTTTTATCAAGGCATTGTCCAATTGAGTGGAGAACTGTAAAAACCCATGTTGTAACTTGGTAACGAGCTGCTTGAAATGACCGTAGAATTTGTTACAAATGCAGCGTTCCATGACCTTTCCGAGAATTGGCAACAACGAAATCGGTCTATAGTTTTCTGCAAGTTCCCTTAAATCCTTTTTGTGGATGGGCGTCATGTTAGCTGATTTCCACTCAGAAGGAATTCGACCAATATTTAAAGATTGGTTGAACAGTGCACAGACGCTGGGTGCCATTTCCCGACTGCATTCTTTCAATAGGCATGATGGAATGCCGTCTGGACCACATGCTTTTGACATATCAAGATCGTGAAGACAAGCCTCGACTTCTTCAACACCGAGTGTAATGTCCGAAAATTGCATGATGGTGCTTAGAGGAGATGAGTTATCATCTACATCAGGACTAACATTAGATTTTGGCGGCAGAAATACCGAGGAAAAATAAGTGTTAAAAAGTTCTGCTTTTGCAGCTGCTGTGTTGGCTGTAATACCATTGTATGTAATCTTAGGACTCTGGTTCTCTCGGTGATGAAGGATAGCTTTGTGATAACTCCAGAATAATTTAGGGTTATCTTTAAAGGAGGCTTCAATTTTGGCTAAATACTTGCTGTGTTTTCATCTGATAGCATACTTGATTTTTTTAATTTAAAGTACATAGTTTCAACTTTCGAGCATCGACTTGACCAAACGATATTTCTTCAGCACTGTGTATTTCTTTCGGATTAAATGGCGAACCTCCCCGCCAATCCAAGGTGGAGAGTATCACTCATAGTTTTTACTGGGATGTAACTTTCAACTGCAATTAAAAATATATCTTTCCACTGTAACCAGTACTGATCAATGTTGTCTGATGTGGTAATATCGAAAGGTACACATGTTAGAAAATTCCTCAGATCCCCGAAGTTTCCACGTTTGTAATCATATACTCGTCGCCTAACTGGCTTGGCTCGCGTAAACTTTAGTTTGACCCGAAATTCTATAACGTAGTGATCTGTTGGAAAATTACACGATTGAGGTTTGAGTGTAGAGACATTTCCGATAGTTTCAGGATAGTTGCATAACAGCGGGTCAAGTTTATTACCAGCAATATGCGTAGGGCCCATTATAAATTGATGGAGGAAATTGTCGCCAACTAGATCACAAAAAGCATCATTGTCCACATTTGCTCCAGTAGTTACAGGAGAAGTTTGATCAGTTGACCAGTCGATAGATGGAAGGTTAAAATCACCCATGACAACTACACAGCTAGACTCAGTTGTATTTTGCAGGGAGGTATTCAGTTCTTGTAGAACATCAGGTGTGGAGTTAGGAGGTCAGTAAAACGTGAATTGACATTTTTTTTTATTTGACGCAATTAATTCAGTTGCAACAAGTTCACTACTTCCAGGCTCGAGATCCAGTCGACAAGTTGCTTGTATACCATTTTTTACAGCTATAACAACACCTCCACCAACCTTCCCAATTCTGTCGCGACAAAAAATAGAATGTCCCTGTAATAATTCACTGCTTAAAATTGATTCATTAAGCCACGTTTCACATATACAAACAACATCATAAAAAGCGCCATGAACAAGCTGCTGCAATAAAGTGATCTTACAAACTTTAGATGAGAAAACGTCAGTGTTGTTATGTGGAGCAAAGGTCTTTAAACTTCTCGCATTTAGATAGAGAAATTTTAATCCAAATGGAGAGGCTTCACTAGTTCTGGGATGGAATGGACCAGGATTCAAATGCACATCGTTCCCAAGAAGAACCAACAGTAAAGGCAAAGACGACCTTTGCAACAATGTAGATGCATTGCGTACAGTTCGTTGTATTGACAGCGACGTGGAGTCTTTTCTCATATAACGTGCTTGAGAAAAATTAGGAGCTCTTGATACGTTTGTGGTGGCGTATAGCAAGGTTTTCCTGTCATCATTCATGAAACGAGCTGCACGAAAAATCAACCATGCAAAAAGAGTAAAATAAATTGTTCTGAGAAGATTATGTCTCTCATGCTGATGGAATAATCCCGTCGAAAGCCCCGCACACGCTGTTCGAAGGAGACTTGGCAATGAGAACGATCTCAAATTACTAAAGTCAAAGTTCAAACAGAGACCAAGTCTAGAATGAATAATTCAAAACTGACAGTAGATATGTAAATATGCAAATGTAGTTTAAATAAAGATAGAACATCAGAATCAAATAAAATGTCGAGATTTGTGAAACCTGTTGTATGAACAGTATGGGACGTCAAGAAAAGTATATGTTATTATTCCGTATTCAAAGCTTCAATTCAATGATTAGTTGTTACCATGACAAATGACGCCAGCGGGATTAATTAAAATTCAAAACGTTTCAACTACCAAAATAGTAAAACAACAATTGTTTAGAAAATATTCCAACAAAAGTCACGAAAACTTGGCAAAATGCTTGATCACGGATAAACGATGACAATATTCAAATATAATTATCAAACCACTCGTGAGGCTGTAAAGAATCCCAAGTCCAAGATATGTAATATATAAATGGTTTGTAACGATACACACACGGGACCAAAAGATATATAATCCAAAAAATGAAGAGTTCTAGACAACCATGTGCAAAAGAATTTCTGTTAGCATGACCACGAGTGCTTTAATTATAATTTGATATTTAATTTGTAGAGTCTTGAAGAGATTTAGGTGTAGCAACAACTGAAAATTTATTCTTGATTCTTCTTGCCTTCTGCATGCTTTTGGTAACCAGATGTTTTTTGTACCTTATCTTCTCGCTTAATAGTTGTTTTAACAGGATCATCAATCATAGGTACAAATTTGTTTTCATCACTTAATATATCATGCATCTTACTAATGTAATCAGTTCTATCTAGTACTACGATCCCATTTCCTTTATCAGGCTTAATAATTACAATAGTATCATCTTTCTGGATATCCTTCAAAGGTTTGAACCTTTGCTTCGAAAAACACGATTGAGGTGGTAAATAGCTGCGATATCCAGACAACGTGATGTCTTTCAGCTTGGTTTTAACAGTTTCCTTAGTATGCCTTGAGCCAGATGAAATTGTCTCATTCTCAACACGTTTGTGCAGCAACTCAAAAGGAAGTAGAATATCACTATATTTGAGACGTCTCGGAGGTATTAAAAAATTCAAGCCTTTCACCAAAACAGATTTTTCGAAATTAGTCTATTGCTTGAATGGTTAAAAATCACCTTATTGGGATCAACATATGTTCGTTTTGTAGATTCAACACCCAAACGAAATAACTTTCTGTCCTGAAGTTTCTCATGTTGTGAAAGGTTTCGTGAATTTTCCCGATCAGAAATTCCTTTAAGATGAATCAAGTCAAGAGAAGATACTAGCTCAGATAAATTCAAGGACAAGGTAATTTTAACTTTTCAACCGTTTGTAATTGTATATCATATTTTTTTCTTCAAAATTTGTTATAAAATAGATGAAATGGCTTAACTGTATTTAGTCTGATGATGTCGCTTGTAATGTGACGAAATGTTACTCAATAAATATTTTTTTATATTCCAAATGTTTTTTGAATATGCCTCTTTTACGAGTTATTTGCTGAGCAATAATATTTTTAACTAGAATACTGCAAATATTCTTTGCCTAATTCATCAACTTGCAGCGATAACTGCAAATTTCTACTTCTTAAATTTCTATGCTCTTGTCCAGCTTTTAGAGCAAATTGCATACTGAATTCAAACACCAAAGTATCCCCTGGCAATCCTGCGTTGGTACTTCCTAAGAAACCATGCAACCACTCCCATTTTCTGCATTCTCATTTCCAGTTACAACAACATTGAGCTAAACAAAAACAGAAGTCTTTATTAGTAAAAGTTAGTTTGTTGCTGTTCTGATATAAGCTTAGCTTGGCAAACCTCCACACCTAATCCCTGCTGAGCCCTGTCTTTCAATATAAAATTTAATGCCAAATTTAAATTTCTAAACACACAACTTGACTTATCTATTGGAGTTAAATTACATTTGCATTCCACATGTAAATAAGTTTGAATGCTGTTAATCATTTCATAAATAGTCTTTCCTGGGTATTCTTTCCTGTCAACGTTTCTTCCTTCACAACAAAACGCCCCAAAATATTATCCAGCTTCTCGTCAGACATCTTGCCTACACTTGTATCCATCAATAGTTGGTCACTATCGGGATCTTTTGATATTGAAACATTTCTTTCAGTCTGCCAGTCTTTATATGCTTTCAGCGCCCAAGTCCACTTTTGATGACTTGCATCCGACATCCAACTTTGTTCAAAAGCTTAGCATTCAAATGACGTTATTGGTTTTCAAAATCTGTTGTCTGCTTAAAACTAAAGCAATAATCTATTAGAAAAAGATTCAGCTGAGTAACATGTTATTTATAGCTTTATGACAAAAGATATAGTAAGACTAAATACAAACTTACTATATGCCTTTCAGGTTCCTCGTCAACACTATTTCTGTCTTTGTTGGCCTCATTGTGTACCTTTTTCGGTGGTGACTGTGTGGTGTAAAAACTTTCATCCGAATCTGAAGACATCTTGCTGCACAGTTTCAGTGAGCACAAATATCTTCAGCCGTGGTATTTATTCAATACCAATTATATATTATTCACGAGTCTAAATACTGCTACAACAATAATTATTAAGTTAGTCACCAAACATACATGCATGACCCAGTGGCTTAACCCAGTAAAATGCAAAGAAACGTTTGTCTGTTTCAAAAGAGTACCTCCAGTGATTGATAATATTACCATCAACAACGTCCCAATTGAAAGGGTATCTACCTATAAATTACTTGGGGTTAATCTGTCATCAAATCTTAAGTGGAATGAGCATGTCAATATGATAACAAAGAAAGCTGCGAAGCGTATTTACTCTGTGAGACTTCTGAAAAGGGCGGGCATTGCAGATACGGACTTGGTCACTTTCTACTCAACGTGCGTAAGAACAGTATTGGAGTATGCTTGCCCTGCATGGTTTTACAGTACTACTGAATACCTTAGAGAACAAATTGAATCCATCCAACGCAGGATCATGCGAATAATTTTCCCTGATACTAGTTACCAAGAAGCCTTAGATCTTGCTGGCATCCCTCGGCTATGTGTGAGATTGGAAGACCTGTGTGACATGTTTTTCTCCAACATCATGAAGGAAAACCATAAACTACATGACCTTTTACCACCTACTTACCAAACTCATTATAATACCAGGTCCCAGGCCTCTGGAATACAATTCCAGTTGCCAACATATAAAACTAATAGATCTCGAAACAATTTTATTGTCAAATCTGCTGTGAAATGGAACAATACGATTAGGAAGAACATAGGGAATGTATAGCCCTACATATTTTTTAAAATGATGACTTTTTAGAATTTAGTGTAAATAATTCAGTATATACTATACAGTATTCTTAGTTTTGATGTTTGTAGTTGTTTCCCCTTTTACCTTTCTAACGCAACATTGTAATGGGTAAATTTAATTTAGTCTTTGACTACGATTTGCTCAAATTAAAGCTATTATTATTATCCTTGAGCATATTATAAATTAAGTTGGAAAAAACCGTTCAGTATACTTTTACAAGTGGCCTACTATAAGATTATTACACAACTCGCAGTTTAACAGTTATAATTATAATTGATTTCACTTTGTCAACACTACGAAATCTTTGCACAAGCCAACACACATAGGTTAAATGATAGGCATAAACATAATAATTTCAACTGTCCACATACAGTGGTACCTTTAAAGACAATGGAAACTGGCATTGATATAGACCCAGATAACCCAAACAACAATGATACAAACAACCTGATGGATTTAGAGTGCAGCATAGACACCAGTGATATACAGACAGAACCCAAAGAATACAATTACAGCGACGCACAAATTGCAAAACTACTAGACACAAACGGCGACATTTACCAACTGCAAATCGACACCCTGTCCTTGACAAGGAGAGGGTCAACAAAAACACAAAACAAGAACAACCCATTAATGCATGACAGTACACAACAAAATTTGGACAATTCACAAACGGACAATGGCAGCGACACTGACCTAGAAAACTTAACACAAAAAACGCCTCCTCAAACAGACCGAAACCGGCCCAATGCGAACACTCTAGATGAACCAAACAATACCCCTGACTACAATACTGACAAAGAGACTGACAATACAGAAACACCCTCTTTGACATACAGACTACTCTCTACTATCCCGACGCATCTACACACAACTTTTCAAACCCTAAACAACCTAAACGAAAAACAAATTAAGACGAAAACAACACTGGAAAACCTCACAACCCAGAAAGCGGACGGAATACTACCCAGCAACTTAAAAAAAAAACGGACTGCCACATCATACCAGACAAAGACCTCCGGAAATGCTGGGTGCAAGCATCCAAACAACTCTACATCTTACTGGAACAACAAAAACGGAAACTCACACATATATAGAAACAAAAATAGCACACGCCACAAAACAAATAAGGGACAACATAACAGACACTACAAAAACAACAGAAATACTAAAACGAACAGACGAAATAAGCCAACATTTCTTGGCAAGATGGATGTCAAAACACAACACCCACTACTACAAACCAAACAAAACCATTAAAAGACTTAAAGGCAAATAACAAGACAGCAACAATAAACAAACACATACTACCACTGCAAAAAACTCTATGCCAATACAGGCACATACTACACAGCAGATTTTTTTCAGATTTTTAATGATTTGCAATATATACAAAAAAAAAAGAATTCGAGAACGTACAAACATCACAAAAAAATAGTTAAAATTACTTATTATAATAGAATAAATGACAACTTAGTTAAATTATGCCCAGTAGTCAAAGTAGCGAGAAGCTTTCGAGTGGACTACTGTCTATGTGAGATTTTTTAATGTATTTGAGCTAAGAATATTAGAAAAAAAAACAAAAACACATACACACAAAAAGATATGAAGGAATGATGATGTACGCAGATCCATAGACCATGCTAGGAATATGCAAATAGAAATACAAATTAGAATCGTGCTAAGATGAAATCACCACAGATGTTCATAGATATCAAAAACACTAATTTTCTTGGAAAAAAGAATATTTAATTTAAAAAAAAAAAGAAACCAGTGTTCTTTTCACCAATTGGAGCTAATCGTCATTCTGCTGACTTAGTAAATACAACATATACTTTCGTTTAAAAGTCTTAAAAGGGAGATGCTTCATGTGATAAGGTATAGTTTCCCATAGCACTGATGCAGTATATTTGAAAGTAAACTTGCCATAATTAGTTCTTACTTGAGGTCTACAGAAATTTAGTTTAGATGCAAGTCTTGTGTTGTAATTATGTAGTAAATGAACAGGATTGAGAAAGTCAGAGAATGCCACCGGAACCTTGGAATCATGATCACTAAATTTAGATGCAAAAATTGCAGTTTTTAGTTTGATAATATTTTCTAACTTAAGGACTCCAAGGATATTATAGTGAAGATTTATATTTTCCCTGTTATCTACAAAAAAGATGCATCGAATGCATCTATTTTGCTTGGTAGAAATTTTTGTTAATTTGCTTTTGTAAGTATTTCTCCAGCTTGCAACAGCATAATTCAAATATGGATAGACCAATGTATAATATAGATGCTTTAACATTTTTAAGTTTATGTAACCCCGCAATTTGTACAAAATTCCTAAATTCTTTGAAATTTTGCTATTAATATGTTTTATTTGATTTCCCCAGTTTAAATGGTCATCAATAAATACACCCAAGTATTTAACACAATGTTTTTGCTCAAGATTTAAAATACAAATTTTTCTACATTTTCGTTGTGGAGAGTTTATCATCATATAATTTGTTTTTTTTGTGGTTAATTGATAGTTTATTTATCTTACAGTATGTCATAACACCTTGGAGTTCATTATTCATAACATTTTCAAGTTCATCGATATTCTTTGATTGAAAAAATAGATTTGTATCATCAGCAAATATTCTGAATGACAATTTTGATGACGAATTTGGCATGTCATTTATATACAAAAGGAATAGTAAGGGTCCAAGTGTTGAACCCTGTGGTACACCACATATGATAGTCTGAGACATTGACTCAGCTTTCCCTATTTTTACATACTGGGTTCGATTTTTCAAATAGCTAGTAAACCAATCAAGAGTAATTCCTCTTATACCATATTTGTAAAATTTCTTCAATAAAATATCATGATTTACGTTATCAAAAGCTTTAGAAAAGTCAAGAAATACACCACATGTAGTAAATCCATCATCAATTGCAGTTTTTAGTTTGTCACTTAGCTCAAGAATTGCTTGTTCAGTTGAATGATTTTTCCTAAATCCAAATTGATATTTAAATAATATGTCATGTTTGTTCAAAAATGACATAAGCTGGTCGTATATAATTCTCTCCATGATTTTACTAAATGGTGATAGTATTGCAATAGGCCTGTAATTGCCAGGGTCAGTTTCTGTGCCACTTTTAAAGATGGGTGTTATTCTAGAAACTCTAAAAGAATCAGGAACAATTCCTGTTGCAATTGATTCATTGTAAATCTGTGTAAAAGGTACAGAAAGAGGTAAAGATGCCATTCTGATTAATTTGTTTGGAATATCTAATGACGCTTTATTATTATTAAGTTTTGAAAACAAGTAAGAAACATTATCTTCTGATACTGGAGATAAGAATAGACTGGATGAAGGAACTTTATTTATATATTTTGTCGGATCATCATTGCTTTGCCCAGTTGAATTTGCTAGTTTTGGACCGATGTTGATAAAATAATCATTAAATTGCTCTGCAATATTATTTTCGCTAGTGAATATTTTGTCATTGTTTATAAGTCGTGAAGGGCATACTTGATCTTTAGTTTTACGCTTTATCAACATTCCTATTAACTTCCAGGTGTGCTTAAGATTACTTGCATTTGAGTGAAAACGTTTAGTGAAGTAGTCCTTCTTACTTTTAGATTTTAGTCGATTTAGCATATTCGAATATTTTTTGTATTTTCTTATTAAATCTGCATTTTTTTTACAGAAAGTGAGTGTGATACATTTTTTGCTTTATTTTGATCGATTTTAATATACCTGTTGTGATCCAAGGTTTATGTAACTGTTTAATTTTGGTTTTGGATGCAGGTATAATTGGAGCATACCTATCTACAACTGCATTTATTGCATTTATTGTTCTGGTTGTCTTTTCATGTAGATCTTTACTTTCATTAAAAATATTGTTCCAGTTAATGTGATTAATATTGAACACAAAAAGATTATATTAATATAAAAACTTTAATACTGTTGATAGTTATAGATTGTTAATGTAGTGTGATTGTGATGTATCTGTGTATGTTGTGTGTTTGTGACGCATCCGTGACTGTATATCCTACGTTTCTAAAGAATGTTAACTGCATGAGTATTGTAATCACGTGATGTAATATATTTCTAGAACTTAAGAGGACCAGATTGGAAACAAGCTGTACTGTAGCTTTATCTGTAAATCCTCGTTAAATAAAGTGTTATTATTAATATCAGCTAAATATTTAGTTTTATAAAATTTCCTATAATCCCTTAAATAAACCTGTTTTCTCTGTTTCCATTTGAATATTACATAAGCAGAATGTTGGAAGGTGATCAGAAATATCAACAGAGGCAATTCCAGCAGAAACTTTCTCAATTGAAACATTTGTGTAAATGTGGTCTATTAATGTTGAACTATGACTAGTAATTAGGGTTGGTTTTGTTATCATAGGTAACTAGCTATTTGTAAAGAGCATGTCAAGGTACTCCTCAGTTTGTGTATGTTCATTATATTTAAAGAAGTCAATGTTCATATCTCCCATTAGGAACACTTGATACTTTTTTTGGTTTAATTTTTTGATAATTTTGTCCAATTGTGAAGTAAATTCAGAAAGCATTGCTTTTGGGTGTCTATAAATGCAACCAATTATTATATTTGGTTTTCCAGAACCTGTTTCAACCTCAGCCCAGCACGACTCAACTAGTTGCATTTGAAATTTTATATCGGACCGTGTAATAAAATTTAGGTCAGTAGATATGTATATACCAGCCCCACCAGCTGATGTTACAGAATCATTATGAATAAAATTATAATTACATAAATCAATATTAGATACAGTTTCATTATTTAGTCTTGTTTCAGTTACAGCTAGTATATCTGTTTTTTTATGAAGAGAATATAATACGTCGTTCAAGAGTGACAAGTTCTTTGGAAGGCTCCTTATATTGCAGTGATAAAGAAATAAGTCATTTTGTTTATTTATATCTATAAATTTGTTTATTTGTGGTATGGTGTAGTAATCAGATACTGGTGTAGTAAGTGCAAGATCACGATCTGCATCATCAAATTTATCAGGATTGGGTATTAAATTATATAATTCTTTGCTAAAATCTATATCATGGAACCATGAGCCATTTAAAGCCCTTAGTTCCTTATCATTTAGATTATAGAATGGTAAATATGATAAGTCATTCGAGTTTAAACACAGGCGGCCCAATCTCGCAAGGGTCAGTATAGACTTATATATAGTATAAATGTATATTATATTAATGTATATAATAGTAAAAATATGTCGTAAAATATAAATTTTAAAATGAAATTGACTTGCCTATTTGATAGTGTGTGTTCTCCTTTTATTCCTCCTTTGTTGGACTAATATTTTCCAAGACTTTGTACTCGATGTTACTGGTATACATGAAACATGATAAAGGCTAACGATTCCCGATCGTCGATACGACGGCACGGCACTTCGAATCGAAAATTCTCACACTCAAATCGCTTTATTCTCAAAAAAAATTCGCCAGCATGTGCAACAAATGCCGTTATTCGAAAATACAGAGGTATTTCGGCGAGATGTACAAGTTTTGGACCATATTTTAACAATGGAAATCAAAACCCATTTTATATTGAACTTACCCGGACCGAAAATTACTACGGCGAACGTCTGCGCAACCAGGCCTCCTTTACCGTTGGATTTACAGGGGGGAGGATTACACTAATATATTAACGATAATATTTCGAATTAAAGTATCATATTCTACCATGCTTTCCAACAAAGAGCCGCTGTATATTTCCGTCGTTTAGTTTTCTTTTCGTCGACAACATCTCGAGTTTTATACGGTATCCGATCGAAGGAGCTTTTATTTTGAATATCAAATTTCAAATAATGTAAACAGTAGCTACCGCGGCCGCGATTGGCTGGCTGTTACCGGAAATATCTGCTTCCCCCCCTGTAAATCCAATCGTAAAGGAGGCCTGGTTGCGCAGACGTTCGCCGTAGTAATTTTCGGTCCGGGTAAGTTCAATATAAAATGGGTTTTGATTTCCATTGTTAAAATATGGTCGAAAACTTGTACATCTCACCGAA